TTTCCCGAGCTAATTAAAATCTTTGTCCAAGGTCAAGTCTGACAAAGATTTACAGTGACCAGAGTCTGCAGATGGGAGACAATAAAAGAAGAAAGAAAGAATGATTAAGTCAAAATTAGATACTTCTGTAAAGTAGTAGCTACTGATGTTAAAAACGTGCTTTTATCACACATACATACAAATGGAAGTATGTGAATGCAATTCAGAAGTAGAAATTTTACAAATCAGCACAATGCACAATTGTCCTTAAAACTGTCTTTCAAAGCAATAGGTATTTCTAAAATTTAAATCTTCTGACACAATAAGAGCCTTTGCGGGCAGGTGTTCAAAATGTGCTCTACCACACATGGATTTAAGACATCTGCAACAACAGAATGACCCAGATAATTATTTTAAACGAAATAATTTTATTTTTATTTTTATTGTATAAAAAAGTACTTTCTAATGGGAATATGAAAAAATCAGCTGTACCATTATTGACAACAGTTATATTAATGGTATGGGAAGTTTTCTCAAACGCTAAGGTAAGCTTGAAAAGTAGTCAAGATCAAGCAAAATATACAGATCATAAGGACTTGTCTGCTTTTAGTCTGTTTAAACATTATTTGCCAAAGTAAAACACCTTTTCTATAATTCCTATAGAGAATCTTAGCTCCAAATGAAAGAAACAGAGCCTGTCAGACCACTGAATAGACCATAGACATTGCTGGAAAATTTTTTTTTTTCTTTCAGGTTTTATATTCAATGTATACTTTGTATCCCTTGGATGAACAAAATTTGCTGCTTTCAATGGATTTAATTGTTCTAAACAAATAACTGCTATTGTGCAATTATTATAAATGTATTGCCCACCGCAGTTAGAGTTGTAAATGTGTTATTTAAACACATTATATTCAGAATTTCATATATTTTTCAGTGAACACATTCCAAACTGGATGTTTGTTAGAACTACAAACGAAAATTTGAATCTAGCTCAAATCATGGTGAAATAGATAATTCTGCACATACGTAGAATAAATTCCCCACAACTTCCATTCAAAAGATACATGTGTTAAAAATATTTCAGCTCAAATATTGCAGCACAGATGTGATTTAATTGATATACTCCATCAGCTGATTTTACTCATAAGCCATTAGCTGCTTTCTTTCCCTGTTCGTCTGTGGGTTATTGGCTGCATACCCCAACTTTGCACTTTTTTTCCAGTCATGAGTGAAGTTTTTCTACTTGTTACAGCTACTTTTGCAACCTAATAAGTTGCCAAAAATCAAAAAAAGGCCGAAGTAGTTTTCAGGAGAAGTTTTAGTAGGTTTTTGACTCATAAACAGCACTCGCGCAGTTTTCTGGTTTCATAAGGTGTTCTCTTATAAAAAATAACAGAAATTATGTCAAAGTTGACTTACAAAAAATGTAAATATAAATGTTAGTTGGTGGTAGAAAAACTCTTACACTTCTCACTGTTTCACCAAACAATCAGATAGACCACAGCAGCTGTTTCTGCTTGTTGATCACAGCATGAGGTGGCTTGACAATAACAATAGATCTACCATTCACATAACCTTAGATCTGTAACATTAATAATTGAGCAAAAAGGAAAATAATGTAATTCTTAAGAGGCTCCAACAGTGCGTCACATTCAATGTGGTAATTTCACTCTACCCCTACACAGTTCGAAGACTGATTCGTTCTCGACCCCAGATATACATCGGTACTAAAATATCAAGTTGAAAGTTATCATTAGTATAGACCCAGCTCCCAACCCAACTGTTAGAACACATTAACGGCAATATTTTTGCTATCGTCCGATAAGTGTGATGTGTTAACTCCGATTACGGCCCACCACTAGTTCCAACCAATTCACAATGTAAATTCAAGAGATAAATAAAAAATGATTCTGCAAAATAATGTCTTTTTTTATATATTTGCTCAATTGGAAACCAATAACCTTTAGTTATCTGATTCTTAAACTTTGATATAGCTAGTAGCTAACAAAAATAACGGCACTCTTTTTTTGGTAATAATTTGGTCATCTAAATGTCACAAGCATATGCGGAAATACATTAATGCTAATGGTATATTAGTGAATAAATCTTAAGTGATTTTTTTTTTTTTACTTTTTATAAACAACAGCTCAAAACATGTCTGCATGGCATACCATTCAGCCATCTTGTTAACTTATCTTTTCACAACGCTAAACACATGATATTATCAAAAATCATCAGAAAGACAGATTATTTAACTTATAAGCCTGTCCCTAAATATACCAGAACACTACCTCTGCTGATCTCCATATTGAAAAAGCTGGATTTCTCCAGGTTTAGTAGCTTAGTATAGCAGGCTCACAGCCGGGTTCTTTGTTCTAAGGAGCTTCAAACCTCCAGTCTCTTCAGGGATCTGGAAGCTTCTGAAACTCGCATAGAAATGCTGCAAATGGCCACCATGTCCACTCAGCCTTTGGTCAGTCTGGAGTTTATAGTCCCTTGGCATGGGGTCATGATAAAGCCTCTTCCAATGTGATCCCCAGGGGAGACTAAAGGAAAAGAGACAGGAGTCCTATCAGTTTGGTGTTTTTCAAAACCCTCTGTGGCAGGATTGCATGTTCTCTGGAAGTGTCGTGGAGGTTTATGGGCTTGGGGCATGTTGCATCAGCTAGAGAGCCCTTCATCCTCCTAATCTAGAGGTTATGTTAAATATCAGCATGGACATTGGTTCTTATTGTCCAAAATTAATATCATGGTTTATGGCAAAACACTGACCTCTCCAAACCTTCCTCATTATTTTCCTGTAATATCTGTCCAGGGGAACAAAAGTCTTTGATGAGTGATTGTGTGTGTTACTGAAACATGTAAACATAACTTTGAGACATATATATATATATATATATATATATATATATATATAGCAAAGAAAATTAGGATTAAGAAGTCATTTAAAACAAGATGCCACGTTTTACAGAGCCACCCTGATGTTTTAGTTTCATAACTTAAAAAAAGATGCTGATATTTTACAGCAGACTAAAAATGATAATCAGAATTTAAGTAGAAGCGTTTAAGTGCGCTGGTATTCACACACCTTCTGATTTTTATCCTCCTAAGTTGAAAAATCACAAAATAAATAAGTATCCTGATTATGATTTCGCTTTTTGGCACCTTGTTAAGCACCAATTCTCCGATTTAGTGTTCATAAATGCATCGATAAAGATGTCCTCTTTTAGGAACATTCAGCAGCCTTGTGGTCTTATAATCAATCTGTCCATTTTTACATTAATCTAAATTTAAAATACAGAAGTAAAAACAGTTATTATAAGCGAAACACCCAAACAAAGCTAAAATAAAGATGTAAAATTAAAGAAAAACCGCATGCTACTTCATATGAGACAAGATATGATTATTTCTATTGTGTTAAGACTGAACAATAGCACTCTGGCATCAGAGTACTATTGTAGCACTCTGAATCACTCTGAGAAAACTTTAAACATGAATTGGTAAAATCATTGAAATTGCTGCCTATTTTTTTATAAAAGATGGTAAAAGATTTTTGCAAATGACAGGACATTTTGTTCTTTAATATACCCATTTTAGGTCTATTTGGATGGATTTCAACAATAAATAAACGTGCAAGTAAAAAAATTAATCTGAAAAAAAAAAAGTAAATATTAACTGAAGATAAACATGTTTTAAAATATTTACATTTACTTCATAGTAACATTTTAACAGAATATGTATTAGTAATTCCATTTAGATTTCCTTTTTGTTTTGAGCTTGATGTTGAACATTAAACTTCAGTCTTGTTTGCAGATAATGACCTTCTATTGACTTGCTATTGTTTATTCTGATGCAATATACTGTGTGCATGTTCCCTTTTTTGCAAGCAACTCGGATCTGCTTTCCCAACTCTAACATGGCTCCACTCAACTCCTGTTCTTGGGTACTACTGGGAAGGACAAGTCCTGGCTGTCCTGGCTCTTGACAGAGGAGATAAATCACTTAACACACCGGAGGATAGCCTTCCAGTCTGCAAGCTGGGAACTTCATTATCCCGCCCCTGCCACACATTACCATGCAGATTGTCACTGATTGGACTGACTATGTGGTGTATGCAGCCTACTTCTGTCACCACCAGAGGAGCCAGTTTTGAGATGGTACGAAGAATAAAATAATAGAATTAAATGGCATGTTAAGAAAACAGGAAAGAGTGATAGACATTCAGTAGTATGCTAAAATTGGGAGATCTTTAAAGGAAGTAGGAATTTTTATCAATTTCACCCAAGTTCTAGCATGTTTAGTCTAACGGTCCTATAACAAAGCAGTTTGTGCTGACACTGCAGTACTAAGTTAGGCAATAATTTCTCTCTGTAAATTCTGCAGTGATGTAATTTCCTCAAGCAGACAATTCTTGGGAAACAGGATTTCTACTCACTGGTCTTCATCAACACAGTGGTAACACCTTGTAGTTTGGCAAACTTTTTCATTCCCACAAATCACCTACCCGCATGAGTACATGAGAATCAGTAGATTAGTAAATATTTTAAAGGCTACCTTTTTCTCATTCTGTGAATGCATATGTTTTGCATTCTTTGTCATATATCAATGAGCTATAGTGAGTAAAAAAGATCAGAGGAAGGCAGTAGACCCTTAAAAAGAAGCTTAAAGATAAGTATACTATATTAATTTAATAACATGAATTATAGTAGTGTTGCTTATTTTCAGTTTGAATAAATGCCTTAGTGGTAATCTTGGTTGCCTGTTGCCTAACTGTAAAGAGAGGAGACAAAGACAACAGCACGAGAAATCAAGAGAGGCCTAGTGATGATATCCACGATATTAGTCTGAGCACAACTTTAACAGGATAATACCCAGATTGAAATAACTAGGGAATAAGCTAGTTGACAAACTAAATTATCAGGAATGGAATTGTGTTTATATTGATCCATTACCTCTGTGTCATGATTTTCTTAAGAGTTCTGACCCACATGCAAAAAACAACTCAGAGAACCAGGGTAAAAGTTTTAACAGGTTTATTGATAAGGTCAGTGGGGGTTGGATTCAGGAAACTCAGTGTGCTGGTGAACCGAAACTGGAAGAGGGAAGGGAAGTATCAGCGGTTAGTTCAGGATCCGTGGGAACTTTGAGCGATGGCTGGAGAGACAGAGAAAACGGGACTCACGTTAGTGGAGAAGACTTTCTTCCCCAGAATCCAGTAAGTGTGGGTTTATCCAGAGGTAGAGACTCATTGGAGGGCGGACAGGTTTAGACTTCGTTGGATCCTGAGGACCTATTGGGCGGACTGTCACTTGGAAATCCAGGAGGACTTGAATGGAACTTGTGGAGGTTAATCCCCTGTTCAGTGTGAGACTCAAACAATCCTTCCAGGGGAAGAAGGCCAAACATCCAGCTTGCAGGAAGGCTTCCTGTCGGAAATGCAAAGACAAAAACAAGGTTAGGCTCAGTGAAAACAAAGACTTAGACTCAGCTAAACTCAGCTTGGCTAGAGTACCCAAAACTGGCAAACACTCTGGCGTCGAGGTAGTGACAGTCCACCGCTCAAATAGCCCTCAGTAATAGACCTTTTTCACACTTCCGGGTTTTAAAGCGGATGTGGGGTTTGACAACTTCCGGTGGCTATAGCGTTAGCATAAAAGTCTAAGAAAATGGCTCAGTCTCGGCGCAGTTGTTTTTGTTCTGTACCTGGTTGTTCATGTGGGGCAAGAAAACAGCCATATCTGTCCTATCATGCATTCCCACAGATTATGTTGCAACCGCAACAGAAACATAAAACAAATAGTAACAACTGAACAGGAAAATGTTAGAATAAGCTCTAAGTAGTCCAGAAGTTGTACGTGAAAGTTCTTCAGCCGTCAAACATGAACAGGAACTCGAACCAACGAACAAGAGCCAACCGGCTTTCTGACTGTTTCAAACCTGCAGCTTGTGCGGTTCCTCATTTTTCTTCATGGATCTGAAGCATCTAGCTCTGACAACTACCTGTCCCTCGACAATATTTGACACTGCAGGCATGCAGAAGTAAAGCATAGTTTCAACATCAAGCATCATCTAGAATCTCAGAACTAACATAAGATTCTAGCATGCTGTTTTTCACAAACTGTAGTGGCAAACAAATTTCAGAATGTCAAAATATAACTGAAAAGTTTAAACTATGTCCGTCTCCAATATTCCACATAATTTAGATACTAAGTTAGGCTTCATTACGATGTTTGTGTAGCTCATATCTTGCAGCTAGCGGTTAGCTCGCTAAGCTACGTCTTTTCTTACCTTGATAGCTGTGGATATATTCTTTGTGGAAGAACTTGTATCCTTTCACAGATTTGTTGGTGGGGGAATTCGCCGCAGCGATTTCCTCCGCATCCGCGAAAGAAAGTGTTGGCAAACTAAGTAAGGATGACGAAAAGCACCGGAGGAGAGACATTTTTCAGAGTAAAACAGGAAGTGCTCCAGCCCTTTCAGACGCAGCTTCCGGTTGTCGTGAAAAAGGTCTATTAGCCAACCAGCAGCAGGTGTAAGGAAAAAACCAACCAGAACAGGGCGCCACCTGGTGGTGGAGGGAGAAATCAACACAAAAACACAACCCACACAAACTGGATTCCTAACACTCTGCCATGGAGGTTATGGTTTTAAGAGAGTTTGTGAGTTGGTCCGTCTGTCTCTGTACAGGATAACATAAAAAGTTATGGAAGGATTTAATGAAAACTTTATCAGAGGTGTCCCTCATGCAATGAATATCTATTAAATTTTGGTGACAATCCATATCATAATCGGGAAACTGGAATTTTCCAGAAGATTCTTTAACATTGTGTGACAGTGACCGGAACAAGCAGTTCCACACTAAATTAGAGGGTGACAGCAGTGACTATTGACAGCCTCAGCATCAGTCTCAAAAAGTTGCATATTGTTGTATTTTACCGAAGACAAAAACACAAGAAAAGGGAACATTGTTGGTTTGGTAGACAGATCAATTAAAACCTTGTTTGGATTTTATGGAGATTTTTTTACTAGAGGTGTGCTTCATTCAAAGGAACAATTAAAATATGGTAATAATTTAGATCATGTGCAAGATTTAGATTTAGGTACGGTATATGTCACATTTTGAGGCAAATTTTTTTTTTCCAGTGCAGGTCTGCGCTCTCTGAGTGCTTTTCTAGTTTAATTATAATTTCCTAGCTTAGATTTTTAGATATACCATTATAATTGTATTTTACTTATAGTCTGTGTTATTATTTTATTGAATCAAACTTTCTGAAAAAGTCCTAGAGGTTAGCAAGTATGTAAAGATAAGAATTTAGTTATATATATGTTACTGAATAATCATTGGAGTCACTAATTATATTCTCATGGCCTCAGATAATTGACTTGTATCTGGACTTCTCCTGTTAGATCTCAGTACTGGATTTGATACACTTGATCATGGTATTCTTTTAGAAAGGCTTTCAATTTTTGTGAAAATAAAACAGCACTAGGCTGGTTTAAATCGTATTTATGTGACAGAATTCAGTTTGTTCACATCAATGATAAATCTTCCTCATGCTCCTGGGTTACCTGTGGAGTACCACAGGGATCCGTGCTAGGACCAATTGTCTTTACTATATATATGCTCCTAATCGGTAGTATTATCAGACAGCATTGGATTAATTTTCACAGCTAAATTTTTCCATAAATTCTGATTAAACTAAACTCTTACCTAGACTACAGGCATGTCTTGAAGACATTTAAACCTAGAATATTTTCTTCTTCTGAATGCAGGCTAAACAGAAGTTAGTGTCTCTAAAAAAGAAACTGATTAGTCAGTCACTTCATTCAGGTGGGATTAAATTGATCTCAGATTATAAAGTAAAAAATCTTGGTGATATTTTTGATCAGGACCTGTCATTTAAATTCGATATTAAAGAGGTTTCTAGAGTTTCCTTCTTTAATATGTGGAATATTGCAAAAAACAGAAACATCCTGTCCAGGGGTGATGCTGACAAACTAGTCTATGCATTTGTTACTTCAAAGCTGGACTATTGTAACTAAACAACGTAATATTTTATGTTAAAACTGAGCCCCTATTATTTTTATCAATGTTAGTCAAAATATTTTTTTAACTATCTAAAACTGTATTTTGGTTAGGCATTATTAAAATTTTGATATCTGAAATTCCAATTGAACTAGTCATGACTCAATAGTTGATATCTGTAACTATATTTCTACTAGTAGAAATATATTGTCAATAAGTATATGTCAATAATTTCATTTCTGGATATCTAGAATGTTCATATTCATTTTTGATATCTAAAATAGTAATGTTGACTAGTAGTAACTATTACTGAGATCTGAAATTAGAATTCATCCTCGTCAGAATTCAGATTTAGATAGGAAGAATGTTATTTTAGATATCTGGAAGTAAAACCCAGTACACAGGAATGAGAAATGTGACATCATTTGTACTAGTTAGAATTAAATTTAAGATAACTGAAATGTTTATTTATTAAATGTTTATTTTAACTAGTTACAAATGCATTTGAGGCATCTGAAATATATATTCAGTCAACCTGAATATATGTCAAAAAGATACATTTCTAATAAATGTCAAAAGGGCCACTTAAAATTTGTAACGATTTCTAGGTATCCGAAAGTTTATTCTCACGAGTACAATTATATTTTCTGCATTCTGAAATGTAATTCTTGCTGGCAAAAATGTAATTTAGGATATCTATACAGTTCTGAGTGGGAGGGTAGTTTTGACCAGAAAGAATCGTATTATAGGAATCAACAAATTGAACAATAGAGATATGAACAACTCTAATAAATGTCAAAGCGGCCTGCCATACACTCTGTCCAACTAACTTTGTGCGCAATGTTTGACTCCAAAACTGACACTTTCCCTGTGCGATTAACAGATTTTATTTTATATTTTCCCCCACATTGTATATGTTTTACTTTGTAACTTTGTCTCTTTTCCTGTCAAACCCATGAAATTGCTGCTGAATTGCTGCATAGGTCGATTAAAATTGACCTAGGTTCATCTCAGTCGGACCCTTGCGTAAAATTGTGTTGGGTGTGATCATCGCCATTGATTTTCTTTTTTTTGTCGTTTTATCAAACAGAAAGGCTGACAAGAGAGGGGGTATGAGACAGAGAAAGAGACATGCAGGAAAGAACCACAGGTCGGATTCAAACCCAGGTCACCCCGTCGAGGACTAAGGCCTCCGTACATGGGTCAAGCATGCTAACCACTGCCCTACCTGCACGCCCATTCCCACGGATTTTCAATGAGCACTAAACACCACAACCTCGTCCGACACGGGACGAGCGGGTCCGCCCCTTTGAAATGGGGGTCCAAAGGGGCATGTTTGCCTGTTTTCTAAGCCAAAAGAAGGCTTTATTCTTGGTCCACTCTATAAAGCCTTGAACTCAACGCTATTTCTGACATTTTGAATTGAAAAAGCCTCCTGGATGGGAAGCAAAACGTCTTCAAACTTTAATTCATAGTGTAAAGTCTTTATAATCGAAGTGAATCTGCTTTCATTGTTGTAGCTCAAAATGATCACCATAGTTGAAAAGGTGGGAAAGAAAGCTTTCTCTTCATATGCTGGATGTAAGTATTAATTGTGACAGTGTTTTGTTAATCAGCTGTATAGGAAAAATACAAAAAAACATCTGTGTGTTACCCAGGCTCCATTGTTTGCTTTAATAGCATTTAAACACAGATCAATTTGACAGGCTATCCATTATTTTGGGGACATTTCCTTCCACTGTGAAAGGCTCTTTATTCATCTAGGACATTTTGCCTCTACGCTGCTCATCATCACTTTTACCCATTTCACACACCAACGGACTGGTCAGGAGTCAATCCAAAGAGACAAGCAAATCAAAAACTAAATCATTTCATTAGATAACAGTAACTTGATCATAATGACTGTCATTTTGTTTATTCAACCTGTGATAGATGAGAAATCATGGACAGATATAAGTTTTGCATATATTGAAGAATACCAACCTGTTATCCAAATAAACACATAGATAAATAAAAAAAACTTCAATTAAAAAATACTTACATTACAGAGAGAGACACCCTTCTAGGATGAAAAGGAAAAAAAAACGTTTGAAAAAGCTGTTACATTTGTTATATACAGAAAAACACTGCAGAAAAAAAGATGGACTGCACAGCTGTGATTTTCATGGACGACACTATATTATCACTCGGAAGGTGAGGACAAAAATGACAATTGAAATTAACTAACTTTATTCCACTCCACTTAAAAATGGTGTGCACATGAAACCGAGAGGGATAACTGAATCTTCACCCCTCAGCTGCCAGTTCTCACCACTGCCAGTATATGTCAGTTGACATGTCTTTCCTACTCTTTCTCTCCAGCACCTGTCCCTCATGATAAATTTATCAGGTA